TTACTCTTAAGGGCAAAAATCCAGTGAATATGGATCACCTTAGTGTAAGGGGTAACAACATCCGATATTACATACTTCCCGACAGCTTGAACCTAGAGACATTGCTAGTTGAGGAAACACCTAAAGTCAAGCCCAAGAAGCCGACTTCAGGTATGATACTATTTTTTCCTTTATGCTTTCTGGATCTGCTGGTTAAACACCATAGCAATTTTAGTCCCAAGGTCCGAAATTTCGTATTTTGGTATTTAATAGTTTGCTGCAATTTCGGTCATTTTTTAGGACTAAAATTGCAACAAATTCCCAGATTTTCGATTAGCAATTTAAGTTCTGTGATTTAAAATTATGCTCCAATTTAGTCATGTAATTTAAATTTTTCTTGCAATTTCTGTCCTGCAGCAAAATATTAAATCACAACACCAAAAGGCGAATAGTTCGGAACTAAAATTGCTATGACGTTGACTAAAAATGCATTTTTGCCTACAATTTTTAAAAGGCTACAAACACAAAAGCACAAAACTGAAAGGACAAACAAAGCCATAAGGGCGTATAGATAGTCTGTTAACACTAATTTCATCCTTATCTTTTCTAATTCAGGGAGACCCGTTGGGCGTGGTAGAGGCCGTGGCCGGGGTCGTGGACGTGGTAGAGGACGCTAAATATAGTGGTAAAGCATGCTAAATATTTCATGCTCGTTTTTATTTTGTAGTACTTTGTTGTCTAAATATCTACTTTGAAGGATTTGTGTTTCGAAAAACTGTCTGAAATGTTTACAGCTCGGGTTCACGTACAGATGAGTGCAATTTTTATGGCTCACAATCATAAATTTGAGGTACACACACATTGTATGATGCGCCATTTTTTTTCTCTGATGTTATATTATGGTTATCCTTGTGTCAATGGCTATATAGTTTTACGCCTCTTGAACTCTGTTACTCGGGTTTTAGAATTAGGTTAATTACAATATTTGAGGGTGTTGTTTCTCCTGAAATTGAATCATTTATGAACTTGGGAAAAATCGATCAGCTAGTAATTAGTAGTGTACAAGTTCAAAGCTTTGATTATTGCATATTAACTGGATTGATTCTAAATATCATTGTGGGTGGAAATTGAAATTTAACTTTTGATCGCTATTACTTTCAGCTTTAATCATTATATTTTATTTCATATCTCGGAGAAGTTTTTTCTCGTGGTGCCATTAGTTCGGCTATGAGGTTTTCGTGTTTATCAGGAGTGTCGGCGGATGTTTAAACTTTAAAAGCAACGTTCGTGTGGAATTCTTGAAATTGAGATTTCTACTGTCTAATTAAGGCGCGGGTAGGGGTGAGCAGCAGTTCGAGAAAAACCTCTGCACCGAACTGCTAAAACCGAATCGAGCAAAAAAATAATGATAATAATAAAAAACCAACCACAATGCAGCAGTTAAATGGGCATTGAATTTCTGTTGAGACAAAAAAGATGATATGAAATGTTCAACTGACATTTAGGTATAGACCAACACCCAGTCTTTGCCACCCAAATCTGTCCTCTTCCCATTTAATTTGTTCTGTAAATGGATTTTGCTAAAAATCCATTAAGTTTAATCATTTTGATTTTAGCTATTGATTTGCTTATAATTTATTTATTTTTTAAACAATTTAAAAGTGTGTGTAATCTATTAAAATAATATTCGTACATGATAGATATTTTCACTTTTCTGTTTTTTTTTTTCTTATTTTGAAATCGATAAATAAATATTTTTTTTATAATAAATAATATTTTTATATTTATATTAACATTTTTTTTTTATATAAAAAAAATCTAGTTAACATCCCCTTGATATGACATCCAAAATTTGCTCGGGCTCATCGGTGTTCAATGATTAAACTATCATGAAGGTTTGACTGAAATTTAGAATATTCCGACGTATATATTAATATATAAAGACAATGATATTTACTTGAAATAGCAACTAA